CACACACACAAACAAGAAGAGCCTCTGGGGATTCAGCTGAGGCGTTTCCCCCTCCAAACAAAGGAGAGTCAGGCCTTCCCGCCGGGAGCCCACCAGAGTAAATTACCAGATAAACAGGGGCCTCCCTGCCAGGCCAGGCCAGGGGCTGCTCTAGATCTTCATTCCAGGCGTGGGACGCAGCATACCCAGCAGCCCAGAGGAAGCAGAGAGATGGGCTCCCGAGGTGGGGGTGGAGAGCACGTGGGAGACCATGAACAGGCAGCAGGATCGCCTGGGGCACTGGGCCGAGGAGTATACAGGTGGCGGGATCCAGTGTTCCCCACAGGACTGGGCCGACGTGTCCACAGGTGGTGGGATCCAGCGTCCCCTACGGGTCCAGGCAGGTGTTTCAACTTGTCACCCATACAATTGTAGAAGCTCTTTCTGCTCTGCCCCCAAAAGGACCTGACAGTTCTTTCTTTGAAATCAAGATGCAAGTCCATACAGTAAAACAGACATGGTTTAGTCAGCCTCGAGACATAAACGCGTGTGTAACCAACACAGAGCACTTCCATCGCCCCAGGCCGGTGCTGTCTGATAGAACTTTCCACAGGGACCAAAATGTCCCTTATCTGACCGTCCAGTTCGGTAGCCACAGCTGTGTGCAGCTGGTGGGACTGGAAAGCCAAAATTCTCTCTCTTTTGTTGTTCAACTTAACTTAAATTTCATAGGTGCACAGTGAGTGGGAACCATCCCCGAGACATTCCCTCTGCACCTCCGCTCAGGGGGGTACTCCCACAGGAATTCAGGAGGAACCGCAGCCCTGGTTTATGTCCTCATCTACGACTGCTCATGGCCACGGCCACAGTCGGAGGTGCAGGCACACACTGGCCGAGCCAGGTGTCCCCTTGGCACCTGCTACCTGTCAGAAGCACGCTGGGCTGCATTTCCGAGAGGGAGTGAACAGCAGCTGTTCACCCTTGCGCCCTGTGGGTGCAGACTCAAGTGGCTCCATCCTAATCACAGCGCTGTAAATGTCCATGGGCACGTGGCATGGAGGGCACATGGCCTTCTGTCTGTTGGGTAAATAACCAAGAGCAGCTGTCACGCGGGCGTGAGTGCAGGGTGATTTTCACCCCAAGGATCAGCCGCTGCTGTGCCCTGTCTGGCCGCCGGCACCCCCTCCTCTGGGCAGCCCCCTGGGGTTGACCGGTCGCACACTGTGCTCCCCACGTTTCCAAAGCTCCGCTGCCCTGCTACCCCCACCCTGACAGAACAGCCCCTATACTTGTGCAGAGCACCAGGCAGACTTGCACTCTCCGTTTCCTTGGTTGCTTTCCCACCGCGCCTCATGCACATCTGGACGATGTTTGGTACCATCCAGGTACAGGCTGCAGACGCTCTTCCTTCATGCAGAATGGCCGCGTGCGCACTGAGGAGCGCGGGCAGGGCGGCTGCACCACTGATCAGGCCTCCTCCCCTCCTCCCCAGGTCCTTGGCCATCGGGCCCCAGTACTCATCCCTGGGCACTCAGCCCATCCTGTGTGCCAGCATCCCGGGCCTGGTGCCCAAGCAGCTGCGGTTCTGCCGGAACTACGTGGAGATCATGCCCAGCGTGGCGGAGGGCATCAAGATAAGCATTCAGGAGTGCCAGCACCAGTTCCGCGGCCGCCGCTGGAACTGCACCACCGTCAACAACAGCCTGGCCATCTTCGGCCCCGTGCTGGACAAAGGTACGCGGGCCCCCATCTTGGCCTTCAGGTGGACGTGGTAGGTCCTTGCAGCTCCCCTTCAGTGCCAGGAGCCGCTCTGCCCTGACCCACCTCAGTGTCTCCCCTGTGCTCAGCATAGGAGCGGCGCCTCCGGCGGGCGGGCAGTGCCCTGCAGACCTCAGCCTCTTAGGGGGCTCCTGCAGCTCCAAAAGGAGTAGGGTAATGCAGAGATCCCTCCTGCTTCCCCTTCCCCAAGGCAAATTGTATGGTCTCAGGAGGACGAGATTAACCATCGCAGGCTTCCCACAGAAGCCAGGCCTTCAGGGGGGTCTTGGAGAGAAAATAACAAAATTTGTATTAAAACAATAAAACATAGGGAGGGGAGGAGGGGTTGGGGGCCACAGAGGCACACCGAGGGAGTTATCCTGGGTCCTGGGGCCGGGAAGGAGAAGAAGATGAGGGTTGGGTGTTGGTTAACTTTTGGGGAAGAGCAAATTTTCACCAAACATAATGGTTTATGCAGTAATAACCATGTGCCATATGTCCCGACACCTGCAAATCAGAGGTCAACAGTGCTGCATCTCAGCTGGTCCCTGGTCTGGGACACGTCTGGGAGCTGAGGCTATGCTCAGCAACAACACCCAAAAGTGGCCTCTGCAATATGGTGGCTGGGCCCCACAGACAGGTGGGGAGGGAGAGAGGTGCCTTTCACTCAGCATAATGTTTTCAAGATTCGTCCACACTGCGTGTGTCAGCACTTTAGGCCTTGTTAGGGGTGAGTAATAGCTCTCTGTGCAGATAGACCACATTTTATTATGCATTGGTCACTGATGCACATTTGGGTGATTTCTACCTTTTGGCTCTTGTGAACAGCGCTGCTGTGAACATTTTTGTACAAGTATCTGTTTAAATACCTGTTTTTGAATCTTTTGCATGTATTCTCAGGCATGGAATTAATTGTTCTGTGTAAGTTCTGGGGGAAACACCACACTGTTTTCCACAGAGGCTGCACCATCTCACGTTCCCACCAGCAGTGCACGAGGGTTCCAGTTCCACATCCTTACCACCCTTGTTATTCTGTGTCTTCCCTTCAGCAATCCCAGTGGGTGCAAAGTGGTATCCCATTGTGGTTTTTCTTTGCGTGTCCCCAATGCCTAATGATGTTGAGCATCTTTTCATGGGCTTGTGGGTCATCGGTATGTCTTCTTTGGGGAATTCCTACTCAAGTTCTTTGCCCAATTTTTAATTGGAGTGCTTGTCTTTTTGTTGTTGGGTTCTCAGAGCTCTTTATATATTCTAGACAATGGATTCTTATCAGATCTATGATCTGCAAATCTTCCCAGTTGTATAGGTTGTCCTTTCATTGTTGTAACCGTGTCCTGTAATGCACAATAGTTTTAAATTTTGGTGAAGTCCAACTTATCTATTGAAATGTCATATCAAAGTAAGCATTGCCTAATCTAAGGTTACAAACATTTACACCTGTATTTTCTTCTAAGAGTTTTATAGTTTCATCTCTTATATTTAATCTTTGATCTATAATGAGTAAATGTTTGTGTGTGGTGTGAGGTAGGGGTCCAGCTTTATTCTTTTGCATGTGGAAATCCAGTTACTCCAGCCCCATCAGTTGTTGAACAGATTATTTTTTTCCCCATTGAATGGTCTTGGCCCCCCATCAAAAATCAATTGACCACGGATGTGTGGATTTATTTCTGGACTCTCAATTCCATTCCTTTGGTCTATACAACTCCCCTTTTGCTAGTTCCACACTATTTTCATGGATTTACCTTTGTGGTGTGTTTTGAAGTCAGGAAGTACAAATCATCCAGTCTGTTTTTCTTTTACAAAATTGTTTTGGCAATTGGGTGCCTTGCAATTCCATATGAATTTTAGGATTAGCTTCTCCATGTCTGTGAAAAAGGTTTTGGGGATTTTGATGGGCAATACATTCAGTCTGGAGGTTATTTGGGAGAGTATTGTCATCCTAACAATGTTAAGCCTTCTGATCCATGAACATGGGATGCCTTCCTGTGTATTTAGGTCTTCCTTGGTTTCTTCCAGCAACAATTTGTAGTTTTTGGTGTACAAGTCTTGTACCTCCCTCATCAATGCATTCCTAAGTATTTTATCTTTTTTGATGTAATTGTAATTGGAATTATTCTCTTAATTTCCTTTTTGGATTGTTCATTGCTACTATATAGAAATATAACTAATTTTTGTGTTTTGATCCTATATCTTGCAACTTTGCTTCATTTGTCTTGTAGCTCTGAGAGGTTTTTTGTAGGTTCCTTAGATTGTCTTTTTTTTTTTTAATGTTTATTTTTGAGAGAGAGAGAGAGAGAGAGAGAAAGTGTGAGACACAGAATCCAAAGCAGAATCCAGGCTCTGAGCTGTCAGCACAGAGCCCAACCCAAGGGTCAAAACCCATGGACCACAAGATCATGACCTGAGCTGAGGATGGACGCTTAACTGACTGAGCCACCCAGGCACCCCTAGGATTTTCTATATATAGGATTATATCACTTATTAATGGTGACAGTTTTACTTTTTTCTGTCTGATTTGTATACCTTTGATTTCTTCTTCTTGCCTAATTGCTCTGTCCAGCACTGCCACACTATGTCATGTAGCAGTGATGACAGCGGGCAAGCTTGTCTCATTCCTGATCTTAGGGAGAAGCACTTAAGTCTTTCACCATCGAGTAAGAGGTTAGCTGTGGATTTTCCATAACTTCCTTTTATCAGGTTGAGGAAATTCACTTCCATTCCTCATCTGTTGCGTTTTCATATCATGAAAGGGTGTTGGATTATATCAAATGCTTTTTCTGCTCCAATGAAGATGCCCATGCGGTTTTGTTCCTTCATTCTCTTAGTGTGATGTGTTATTATTGGTTGATTTTTCTACACTGAAGCACCCTTGCATTCTTGGGATAAATCCCCATTGGTCATGGTCAATAATCCCTTTAACATGCTGAAGGATTTGGTTTGCAAGTATTTTGTTGAGGATTTCTGCATCAATATGTACAAGGGGCATTGGTCTGTAGTTCTCTTTCCCTGTAGTGTCTTTGTCTGGCTTTGGTATTAGGGCAACACTGGCCTCAGAGAATGAGTTAGGAAGTGTTCCCTCCTCTTCTATTTTTTGTAAGAGCTTGAGAAGGATTGGTGTTGATTGATTCTTCTTTAATTGATAGAGTCCACAAGCGAAGCTTTGCTTTTTTGGGATGTTTTAAATTATTGATTTGATCTTATTACTTGTTATTTAGGTCTGTTCAGATGTTCTATTTCTTCTTGAATCAGTTCTGGTATTTGTGTGTGTCTAAGAATGTATCCATTTCATCTAGGTTAATCTTTCATTTTTGAAGAATAGTCTTGCCAGATATAGAATTCTTGGTTGACACTGTTTTCCTTCAGTACCTTAAATATATCATCCCACTGCCTTCTGACTCTGGTTTCTGATGAGAAATTGGTTATTAATCTCATGGAGGACTCTTTGTACACAATGAGATGCTTCTCTCTTGCTGCTTAAAGATTTTCTTTATCCCTGTCTTTTGATAGCTAATTAAAATATGTATCAGTGTGGATCTCTATGTTTATCCAAGTTGAAATTTGTTGAACTTCCTGGATATATTGATTCAAGTTCCTTATCAAATTTGAAGCATTTTGGCCATTGCTTCTTCAAATATTCTTTCTGCCCCTTTCTCTCTGTCCTCTCTTGGGACTCCCACAATGTGGTGTTTGTTGCTACATTTGATGGTGTCCCACAGGTCTGTTCATTTTTCTTCATTCTTATTTCATTCTGTTCCTCAGACTGCATTATTGCAATTGAATTATCTTCAGGGTCACTGATTCTTTCTTTTGCCTGCTCAGCTGTGCTGTTGAAAACCTCTAGCAAATATTCTGTTTCAGTTATCATGCTTGTCAGCCCCACAGTTTCTATTTCATTGCTTTTGTAATTTCTCTCTATTTACTGAAATTCTCTCTTTGTTGAGACCGTGTTCTCCTGATTTCTTTTATCCTTTTGAGCAGACTTAGGATAGTTGATTCAGAGTCTTTGTCCACTATATCCAATATTTGTGCTTCCTTGAGATACCCTCTGTTAACTTCCTTTTTCCTATGAAGGACCTGTACTTCCTTGTATCTTTGCATGCCTTGAAACTTTTTGTTGGAATCTGTACCTTGTGATTATCGTAAATGGTCACTCAGGAGATCAAATTATTTCCCCTCCACAGAGTTCAGTGTCCTTATTGTGGGTTGTACTAGTTTGTTTCATTACCGACTCTTCTTTAGCTTGTGGTTTGGCAAAAATTTCCTTTTCTTGGAGGAAATAAAAAGGGAAACAAAGCGAAGAAAGAATACTCCTCTGGTCTCTGCAGATTGGCTGTGTTGTGTGCAGGCCTTCAACCTCAGCTAGTCTGCTCACTGCTCTGCCTTAGCCTTCGCTTCCTGCATGCACTGAGCAGATCAGCACAGGTGGAAGCTGAAGGTCTCTCTTGAGTATGCATTCTGCCCTTGGTTTGCACGTGGGCTTTAGGTCTCCTGGTCCACAGGAGATTTGCAAACCCTTCACTCCCCAAAGCAGCTCTCCCCCACCTTTCCCCCCAGGCGAACAGTATGTCTATTGTTGGCCCCAACTATAATTTTTTGCTTCACAGGCAGCAGCTTGTTCATTTCATTTTCAGTGTTTTCCAGGAATACCCCTTGCTTAACCACTGTTACACCCCAAGAGAGTTCTGAGGTGGGCATCAGTTTTTCAGGGAACCCCCAGACAGGTCAAATCAGACAAATTCTTCCAGAGAACATCTACTCTCCTCCCTCTGGAACCATCCACCTACGTGGGATCAGTAAATTTGGCCATCTTAAGACCTCTCTTTGCTGAGGGTGGCAGGCTGTGTAACCTTTTCAGAGATACCTTTTCCTGGAGTCAGCATTTGCCTGGTTGCTAACCACCTTGAACCCCTTTTCAGAGCTCTGATGACATTGGCTCTGACAGTTTTTGCTTCACTTTTTTCCATGTTTCTCTGGAG